TGTACAAGCCAATTTGCTCTAATAACAAAACAATCAAATACGACTTTTACTTAACATTACCATTATTTAGGGGCGATTAGTGGTGACTTCCGAAAAAAGGTATTTCAGGTGGAATTACTTCAATATTTATAAACAATTGGGGTAATTATATCTGCAGGAATGATCTGTTGTATCTGCTTAAAACGGCAAAGGCAATGTGACACTTGCTTGGTTTTTACCACCCCATGGTATTTATTTTAAATTTGTTGGATTTTTATGACCCATTGCTGAGTACCTAGTATTTGGAACTCGCGTTCAAGAATCGGCTTCGGATTGAAACATATCAAGCAAAGACGCGACATCATCTCAACACAACATAAAAACATACATAACACACACAAATCTAAATATTTAAATAAATTTAAATATTTGAAACCATCCAAAAAGGACATGAAGACAAAATATAATGAAGTCTATGTATTTATTAATATGTATACTGAAAGTGAAAAGCGAAACAATCACATTGATTGATCACAATTATTACCTTTACTAAAAAAACTAAGTGGAATTAAGTTTTGTTTTACCGACGGTTTAGGGATTTTTAAGACTTCCAATAAAAATAGGAACATATTCAATACTTTTTTTTAGCGCATAATAATATCCAAGATTCATTAGTCACAAATTACCATAGCTGCAAAAGCTACCGACAAATTTGCTATAGTGGTAATCCCCCTCGATTACCGCACGCTACTTTCAATTCAATTAAAAGCCAACCTCACATGACTGAGTATGTGATAAGACTGTTTACAGTTTGAATTATGATAGACTAATTTTGAAAGATAGGGTAATCTTCTTAATACACCACTTGAAATAATTAGATAATACAAATAACAATAGAACTTTCTTACACGGTGCAAGTTGCTTAGAGTGTAACGATCAAAGTCGCATGCATTGAGGTTGGTCAATATTCGTCATCGCTTTATTACGACATTGCATCGCAGCGTCTTAGGTTAACAGTAACATTCAGTGCACAGTTTATTTGATTTTTAAGAAAAGATCCACGTTGATTTATTTTGACTACTTCCAAAGCTACGAGTAGAGTTCGAATTTTGTTGCTTTTCTGCTTTTTTTTGTGACGTTCGCGAATTAAAATAATAAATAACCAAAAATTAGTTTCAAATTATGGAGGCTAATATCAACTGAAGGCCGTGGACGCGTTTGGGGACAATTCACTCTACAATCCGGCTACAATAATCGCAGGGTTCTCGACTGCAGCCTTGACTTTGCGCAGGAACAGAACCGCCTCACGTCCATCGATGATTCGGTGATCGTAGGTCAGGGCGACGTACATCATGGGACGAATCTTGACCTGGTTTCGCAAATAAAAAGGGGGATTAGTAAACAGGTAGTTATGGCTATTGAATGAATAGCGAACCTCTCCCTTGACAGCGATGGGCCGCTCAAAGATGCCGTGCATGCCGAGAATGGCACTCTGTGGCGGATTGATGATGGGCGTGCCCATCAGGGATCCGAACACTCCGCCATTGCTGATGGTGAAGGTGCCGCCGTCCATGTCCTCCACGGTGATGGCGTCCCGCTTCGCCTTGTCGGCCAGGCCGGCGAGGGCGATCTCGATGTCGGCATAGTTCATGCCCTCCACGTTCCGGATGACAGGCACCACCAGGCCGCGGGGCGTGGCCACGGCCACCGAGATGTCCACGTAATCGCGGTACACAATGTCCTGCGAATTCAAAGGAATTATGAGCGCTTGGCAACACAGAATATTCCACATTCATCATCATATCGCCACGGGAAATTGCATAAACAAAACGCGACATAAAAAGCACAATTGTCGCCTGATAAGGGCACTTTAAACAGCACGGCCTATCAAGCTACGTCACGGGCGATAAGAGAAATGATAAGCGGAGGGCGGGGCGGAGGCTTGTTTACCGTGCCATCGATGACTGCGTTCACCACGGGCTGATCCTGCAGCGCATAGGCACTGGCCTTCGAGAAGATGGACATGAAGCCAAACTTAATGCCGTACTTCTTGACGAATGCATCCAGATTCTGCTTGCGGAAGTTCATGGCGTAGCTGTAAAAAATAAGAGAGATATTCGGTTTAATTTTTATGGGATAAAGTATACGTAAAATTATGATGATTGGTAAAAAACAGAATATTACCAACGAGACAATAATACAAAAAATAAAATACACAAACTATACAAACATTTTTTTATTATTTCTGATAAGGTTATAATTACGAAACTCATCAAAAAATTTCTTCATTTAAAGGTATTTCCGGTTTTTGTATTATTAGCTCAAAGGAAAAATCTCTCATTATTATTAGAAATTGTTTAATTATTTTAGTAGTTCCACATTAACTTTAAGCTAGTAGAAGTGGGTTTACTGGAACTTCAATCAAGAAACTCACCTCATATCTTAAAAAAACAGAATATTACCAACGAGACAATAATCACAGAAAATAAACAAGAGAGAACGCTATAGTCGGGTTGTTGTCCCGACTATCTAATACCCGTCACTCAGCTAAAGGGAGTGCGAACGCTGTGTCGGGTTGGTGTCCCGACTAATAATCGTAACTCAGCTAAAGGGAGTGCGAGGGAGATAGATATATAATTTTTGATTGCGTATAACTTTTTAATGGATGGTCCGATTTGAAAAATGTCTTCTACATTTCGATAGGTATAAATATACACAACAAAATTGCATTTATACTTCTCGGAAATCTTTAAAGATGTGGGCGCAGGACCCATTTTAAAATCGTTAGTGGGCGATTGTGGGCGTTAGAGGGGGCGTGGCGCTCGGCTAAAATAAGCTTGCGCTGCGTAGGAAGCCAAAGTATATGTGTGACGGACATGGCTAGATCGACTCGGCTAGTGACCCTGATCAAGAATATATATACTTTATGGGGTCGGAAACGCTTCCTTCTAGCTGTTACATACTTTTGCACGAATCTAGTATACCCTTTTACTCTACGAGTAACGGGTATAAATACACAAGCTATACAAAAATTTGTTTTATGATATCTTCTAAGGTTATAATTACGAAACTCATAAACAAATTTCTTCATTTAAAGGTATTTCCGCTTTTCGTATATTATAAAAGCCGGGTATGAAATGATTTAATTACTTTAGTAGTTCCAAATTAATTTTAAGCTAATAGAAGTTGCTTTATTGGAACTCTAAGCTAAAAACTCACCTCATATCGATCTCGTTGAAGGTCGTGAGCATAGCACATGTGTTCTGGGCATCCTTCAAGCGGGCGGCGATCTTTTGGCGCATGCGGTTCATCTTGACGCGCTGCTCGGACCGAGTGCCCAAGATCTGGCGCGAGCCATCAGCCGGCGGGACCTTCACCTGGGCGACGGCCGGCTTGAGGGCGGCCACTGGGGCAGCTGGCGGCGGACGAGGCGCTGCCTTCGGTGGCGGTGGTGGTGGCTTGGCTGCAGCGGCGGCAGCTGGAGGGGGAGCCGCCTTGGGAGGCGCAGCAGCAGCAGCGGGAGCTGGGGCAGCTTTGGGGGCGGCAGGAGCGGGGGCAGCGGCCGCTGGAGCAGCTGCCTTGGCGGGCGCTGCACCGGGCTTGATCTTGAACAGAGCCTGGCCGGGCTTGACGGTGTCGCCGTCCTTCACCAGGATGTCGGTCAGGGAGCCGGAGAAGGGAGCTGGCACGGCCACCGTGGTCTTGTCGGTCTCGATCTCCATGACGGCCTCGTCGGCGGCGAATGAGTCACCCACCTTGCAGGTGAACCTGTCGGGGAGCATTGGTCATTACTCAGTTCGGAACCTGTTGCTGAAAACCAGCTCTTACTTGATGTCTCCCTCGGCGATGGAGTCGGCAAAGGGAGGCACATTCACCGTCTGCTCCGACCACATGCTCGTCGTGGTGTGGAAGCCCTGCCAGGTGAGGAGCCTGAAAAGTAGACGGGTCTGAATGGAGAGTCGTAAGAGGACAGTGCCAATCTCACCTGGTGGCATCCTGGCAGCGATTGGAGGCATCGTGGCGGAGCAGTTGCTGCTGCTGGGCGGCGCAGACGACTAGCCGGGAATACTGGCGGATGCAGCGCTTCAGCTGGTGGGCAGAGGAGAAAATTAGTGATTGCACAACCAGGAGGCGACGGCGGCTGACGGATCACGTGCAGCGGGGCGTCCAAAACAAAAGTTTTTCCCATTTTTCAGCCGCGCACGCACACACACCCATACAATTACATAACCGCCGAGTGCCAGGCGGGCAGCAAAGATGGGATATAAATGGATATATGTGTATATAGATCGACGGAGCATTTAGATCGCACACCTGGCGAGCCCCCCTTTTCACCAGGGAATCCCACGGAGCGCACCGAAAATTTACCTCATTACTCCGCAGGGCTCGCACTCCCAAAGTTTGCGGCAGCCGCCTCGTTACGATCGAAATTATTCCCGTCATTGCTGCGACGACTCTGTTTCGCGGATCACGGGTCGGCGGTAATTGTCACTCGTCAATTTATTTGAAAGCACTCGAATTTAAAACAGAGTTAGCGGCCAAGGCAAAGCAACGTCGATTTCCCTTTAAAAAATACCAATTTCTTATGTCATGACAGAAACGGCGAAAGCGCCATCTGGCGGGAAAGCGCCGAAAGCCCAAAAACAGCTGATGGCGGTATTTGGTATTTTTATCGAGTGTGACCAATGCAGCAGCGGAAATATTTAGGGTATTCAGCTTGTTGCAGTCAAACCCAATTGTCAAACATTCAAATTAAATTAAGAATAACATTTAGATTAATAATAATTATTTTAATAATTTTACTTGCTTCTAATTGCAAAAATGTGGAAAAACTAGTCACAGTCGTTTTAAAAATTTTATGGGAACAATTCAGGGTAATTCTCCGTTCAATTTTAAACAATTAATTTATTTTTTGAGAACTTTCTGAAAACATCGCTGTCGCGGAATTTCGTTGCTGTTGCAGAAACACCTTCTGTGTGAACAGGGAAACACACTAGGTATTAGCCTGCTTCCTATCAGCTGGTCACTCTGCGCTCATTGCTAAAAAGTTTCGCGAACGTTGCAAAACGAGAAAACCAATCTAAATCCGCCCGCCTTCAAAATGAGTTCCAAATCCCTTTTCGAGAGTGAGGAGGATGCCGCCCAGTCCAACAAATTGGCCAGGAAAGCCAAGGATTCGCCCTTCATGCTAGTGGGTGAGTTTCGCGAATTCCCACCGAGCGGAAGTTTTGCCGCCGTGACGTCACATGGAAACTTTTGGCTGCAGACCATCAGATATATATATGTATACATATATAATGCGTGTGCGGGAAAGTCGGCTAATCTTGACCTTGGCCATGTAAATCATCCACTGAGGTTAATGGCAGTTAGGGGACTCCTTTAAGACTAGGTGACATAACGGTTAATGCTGCGTGATCTGTCATTTTCCTGGAAACCTAATGATGTAACAGGAATATTTCGCAATTCCTAAACGGTGTTCGTGCGAAATGCAACGCTAAATGGGATTATCACATCCGTGACGTCACGTTGCCATCTGATCTTGGCGCGTGTTCGAATACTCAACTATCTCGCTTGTCTGCGTAGGTGACAATTAACAGCTGACGCTAACAAGTGTTGCTAATCTGACCGATTTTCTTTATCTGGCTATTATATATTTCTGGATGATGCTGAAATTTGGCTAGAAAATAGATATAAATCATATATTTTAAACACTTTTATTGAGTAAAATGGTATTTTCAACATCTGGAAAATCGTTTCACAATCAAAATCCGCGTTGCAGGATGTATACCTAGTAGGTACTACCTACCAATTAAAATACAACATATTTTTCAATCCCACTACATATTTGAGATTTTCAACGCTATTTTTAAATCACACTGATAATAAAATCTAATCATTTCTAAAATACATAAAAAGTAGTTGCTTCAAAATTCTTAAATATTTCGAAGATACTTTCTAGAACGAATACGTTATTTTTTTTAGCCTAATATAACAAGTTCACGGAAACAAAACTTGTCACAAAATTTAATTGTAATAAAATATACAGATATATAGCTAGATTATTTTTGGGCAGCACTACAAAATTTTTTTTTATGTTTATATTTGTGCGCCGTCTGGCTTTTATCAGCTGTTTCGTACAGCCAGCTAGCAACAACAAACCACCCAGAGAATGACCAAGTGAAACTAATCAGTGACTTCCACTTTTACTTACAGGTATTGCTGGATTTGTGGCCGCTGGAGTGATTGGAGCCTACAAGTACCGGAACCGCGGAACGATGAGCACGAGTGTGTTCCTGATGCAGTTGCGAGTGGCCGCCCAGGGAACCGTCGTCGGATGTCTGACCGTCGGATTGGCCTACAGCATGGCCAAGGAGTACCTGTTCGACAAGGCGCCCAAGGAGAAGTAATGGCCAGTTCCTACTTAGTTAATACTAGACGTAGTTTTAGTTGTTGTCACTCGTACACAAGAAATACCGAAGCCCAATCCGAAATATCATAGTTGTCTATTTATTGTTAATGGTTACTTAAATTATCGATTATCTATTTATTTATTTTGTAATCCCCAATTGGTTTCTTCCACTTATCCCCCCTTTTCATTTATTCTTCATTTTAGTACAAAGTCGTTGACTAACTAAAGATCATTTGATTGTACGGCCTCCCCCTCTAAAAATCACCCACCAACACAAATCGGGATGACATCGGCTAACTCACTTGCACCCAAGCAATCAGTAACTTTATTTATTGCATCCTCAAAGATTCATACCGATCCAGAGGGTTAGAAACACTGGAGAATTAGATAATGTTTTATATACCTGCGTAAGATTGTGATAATGTGTGTTTTAAATGTACAAGTTGGACATCTAAACGAAAGCTGTTGAAGGCAGACGACAAGATTATGAATACCTCTCGCATGATATGATATGATATAATTAAATAAATCAATTTAGATTAAAAAGACAACCTGTAATTTGTTTAAATTTCCTAAAAAGTCGATATTTCTTAAAATCAATGGTAATCTTGTAAATTTTTTAGCTCTTTTAGCTTTTTATTTGCATGCTTTTATGGATACGGATAAATGGAGTCGTTGAAGATGATCTGTCGGATGAAATAATCGGATTTAGAACACCTTGGCGTTTTCGATGACCTTCTCGTTGTCGTAGATCTCCTTGGCGTAGCACAGGTTGGGATAGTCGAAGGCGGCTCCGTAGCGGTTCTTGCATCCCGTGGTGGCCTTCTCTCCCGGAGTGTAGACGGGCTGACCCACAATGTTGGAGGTGGCGAAGTTGCAGGTCAGCACGAAGTGGTTGTAGAAGTCGCGGGAGAAGCGCACGGCGGCACATCCCACATGGGTGTTCTTCTCGGCCACGGCGACGGTGAACTTGGCCACATCCTTGCTGGGCAGCTCCTCCGGGAAGCTGGCTAGAATCTCGGGAGAGGCGTTGGAACGCTGGCCGAACCAGTTCTCGATCTGCTCCTTCACAAGCTCCGCATCGGTGTATTCTGACTCCGATCCACTGTAGCTGAAGATGGCGTTGTTCTGGCCAGCGTAGGCGAATCTCTCCGTGCTGCGGCATTTGTCTGGCAGGGATTCACAGGTCTGCACGTTGAGAAGGGCCAGGTGGGAGAGCTCCTCGCACCAGGACATCTTGGCCATGCGAATCGCCTTGGGTAAGCCTTCTACTTTGCCTCCAGCAACATTGTTACGGAGTTCGTTGAAGAGGGTCAGGATCAGTTTGTGGTGGGGCTCGATCTTCACTTCACGCACATCCTTGGGACAGTTCTCACTGAAGTTCTAAAGAAGAAGGATAAGGACCACTTATAATTTAGTATAATTACTTACTCCTTTATTATTGCAGGCTATGTGCTTATCCAGGCAAGTGGGCAGAGCACAGTAGTCCACTGCCAGGCAGAATCCTACCAAGGAAATCAACAAAACCAAAGACTTAATGGCCATGTTTGCTGGATTTACACTGAAGCTTAGACTGCTACATTTCTCATTTTATAGGATAAGTTGAGAGGGTCTGTTACTGTAATCGGATCTCAATTGAAGCCTGCCTTGCGTTATTTTCACAGCTGGGTTGCGTGGAATTTCTGGCGAGGAATACGTAATCCAGCTCCGTTTGGGTGCCTCATAAAAGCAGGCCCATCGACTACGATTAAACAGTTGCAATCTAGTAGCGAAGAACCAGCAACATGGCATTCTCCAAGGTACTCCAAGTGATCCTCCTAGCTTTCGTTGGGATTTCCTTAGCCGTGGACTACTGTGCTCTTCCCACCTGTCTGGATAAACATATAGCCTGTAACAACAAGGGGGTATGAAAAATTATATATTATTTAATGAAATCTTTCCTCAGACTAACAAAATCACATTGAAATTCCGTAATCCCATTTAGAACTTCAGCGAAAACTGTCCCAAGGATGTCCGAGAAGTAAAGATTGAGCCCCATCACAAACTGATCCTGACCCTCTTCAACGAACTCCGTAACAATGTGGCTGGAGGCAAAGTAGAGGGCTTACCTAAGGCAATCCGCATGGCCAAGATGACCTGGTGCGAGGAGCTCTCCCACCTGGCCCTTCTCAACGTGCAGACCTGTGAATCCCTGCCAGACAAATGCCGCAGCACGGAGAGATTCGCCTACGCTGGCCAGAACAACGCCATCTTCAGCTACAGTGGATCGGAGTCAGAATACACCGATGCGGAGCTTGTGAAGGAGCAGATCGAGAACTGGTTCGCCCAGCGTTCGAATGCCTCTCCCGAGATCCTCGCCAACTTCCCGGAGGAGCTGCCCAGCAAGGATGTGGCCAAGTTCACCGTCGCCGTGGCCGAGAAGAACACCCATGTGGGATGTGCCGCCGTGCGCTTCTCCCGCGACTTCTACAACCACTTCGTGCTGACCTGCAACTTCGCCACCTCCAACATTGTGGGTCAGCCCGTCTACACTCCGGGAGAGAAGGCCACCACGGGATGCAAGAACCGCTATGGAGCCGCCTTCGACTATCCCAACCTGTGCTACGCCAAGGAGATCTACGACAACGAGAAGGTCATCGAAAACGCCAAGGTTTTCTAGGTTGGACAAGACAATAGGATTTACCCCATGATTACGGAACGGAAGCTTTATTTAATATCTTTAAGGTACATATATATAATTAAAATGCGGCAGACGATAATAATTTCAATTCGAGGAATAGCTTTCATGATGGGAATGTTGGGATTCAGGACTTGGTAGCCTTAGCACGCGCTTCCAGAGTCTTGTGTGCGTTTGACTTTAAATGAGATTTATAGTGCTTGACTGTCTTGAAACTGATGCGGCAGATGTCACACCTAAAAAGAGATTAGTTTGTTCATTATCATAATCCATTATAAAACAAGTGAATTAAATTTAAACGCAAGCATTTGCATATATAGTGCAGTTCAGCAAATATAATATATATCGATTGAGTATAAGTTAAATTTGCATAGGAAATATATTCAGATTGGTCGGCAATAAATAGGTAAATGTTTTTGGAATGCATACTTGTGATCGCGACCCAGGTTGTGATACTTTTGGTGGGCTCGGCAGTCGCTTGGAGTCACATAGGACTTGGGGCAATATTCGCACTGGTAGATTCGTTTGCTGGCATCCATGTGAACTCTTGGGGAGATAAAAGTTTGAGTGAGTTTCGGGTTAACTGATAGGGGAATTCTGGCTAGGATCTACCTCTCGTGCATGCTGCGGGCGCTGCAGAAGCGGAAGGTTTTCCCGCAGTCATAGCGACAGGCGTACGGGCGCTCAGTTGTGTGGGTTTTCCGATGCGAACTGAGTTCCGCGGCGGCGGCGAAGGAGGAGTCGCACTGGTCACATTTGTGGGGTCGCGTTCCTGCGTGACGAACCAGATGGTTCTTCAGGTTAAAGGCCGTCGTCAGCCGCTTGCCGCATATATGGCACACATGTTGGGCGTCCGGCGGCTTGTGACATCGCTCCTCGTGGGTCTCCAGCAGGATCTGGTTATGGAATTTGCTGTTGCACTTGGTGCACGGGTGCGTCTTTGGAAGATCAAGCATGTTGCAGTGCCGCGTAAGGGCGGCGGCCGATCGGAAGCCCTCGCTGCAGTGGTCGCAAACGAATCTGGAAGGAAAGTAGCTTTAGTTGCTGCTCCTCAATGGTTTTCTTTCTCATACTGTGAATAAGTTGTGGGCGACAGTTATGGTCAGTCTTTGATAAGGTTAAAAGGTTCCCCTCTCTTCAAAACAGCCGGAATTAAATGATATAGAAAATCATTCTAAAACAAAAATTAAAAAAGAAACAAAATTAATATAAAATCAAAAACTAAACAAAAAAACATTAAATTTCGCCAGGAATCTGTACTATTTAAATTTTGATAATTTTGAAATTATTAAAAGGGAATGAATTCATAGGTAATCATAAGACCTCGGATTTTGCATATTTTTATAGGATAAAGATAGATCAATTCCGAAAACACCAAAGTTCGTTTCGATAAAAATGTAGTTTAAAATTAATGGCAATTTTTTTTTTTTTTGCATATTTGCATAAAATGCAAATGCATAAAATATGCAAAATATAAAATAAACTCAACTATTCAAGATTGACCATTTCATAGCCAACCTAATTTACCTTAAGAAATTTATTTGTTCCTTTTCGTCGTTTCTGAGATATCTAATTTTTTCCCAAATTTAAGGGAACCCTATTTATATTTTCAACGTTTTTGTTGTCCAGTTGCTGGCATATATTTTTATATATATTTTTCAGATTTTATGCAAATGTTTTTTGCATATATTTTGAATATTTCCGATATGCATCCGAATGTATTACGTTTGAAAAATATGACACCTACCTAGAAATTTTGGTAAGAATCTGACCAAAAATGGACAAAAATGCAAAATCCGAGGTCTAGTAATCATGCTAGCTAAATTATTAAGAATATATAGAACAAGGATTACTTGGTATCTGGTGGTACGTCGTGCAGATGATACTTGTGCAGCGTCAGCTCCTCCACATTGTCGAACTCAAGGCCACATTTGCTGCAGGTGTGACTGGAGGAGTCGGGATTATCGATGTCTTCACTTCCCTGGGGACTCGGAGGGTCCGGCTGCGGTGAGATCAGTAGATCGAAGTTCTCCTCCGACAACTGGCTTTCCGTGGCGAATTCCGGGACAATAAGTGGACTATCCTGTGGCTGGAATTCATCCTTGAATTCAGCTTTAGCCAGCCGCTCTATTTCCTCAATATCCCCCTCATGCGGCTCCGGATCCAGAGCGTATTCATCCTTCAGCAAGGGCGACAAGTCCTGCGGACAGTCGTCCAGCCACTGCTCCGCCAGGCTCTCGAAGGCCTCCTCCTCCTTCTCCACCTGCCGCAGCTGGAGTTCGAGGAGCTCCTGGGCCTCGATGCAAACCCGGCGAAAGTCAATGGCAATCTGCAGGTCGTGCTGGCACTCCTGGCACATGAACCTGGGCAGCTTGTCGTCCTCTTTCAGCTGCCGAGTAATTATAGATTTTAGCCAAACATCCGGCCTTTTGCCATGGGGACAGCCGCACTCACCTGCAAACTGGTCAGCGTCTCGATTTGTCGCAAAACGGAAGAACTCGATGGATCGAAGAGGTTCTTGGCCTCCGCAGGATCGGCCATTCGCGAGCAGGTCCTGCAAATGTACCGCATGTCTTAAGAAATGGAATTACAAAACCCCAGATCGATTGGAAGTATATGGTAGTTTTGTTTGCACGGAAGAACAAGAAAAGGGCATGCAACCCCCAAAGTTGACTTTCGCCCCGCAGCGCGTTCATCCCCCAGAATTCAAAAATGACTTTTCACCTCTATTTATGATTTTTGGCAAATTAAAATGTAATTTTTTTCTTTAAATTAAGTTCTTTTATACACCAAATGCGAAACGAAAATATTTGAAAGTATTTTTAACAGCCGAAGTAACATAAAATAAAGTTTTTCCACTTTTAACTTATAATTAAGTTTTTCTTTTATTTTAGGTACATTAGAAGTTTTGTATTTCTTTCAGTCAATGGAACTTAAAATTGTCTATATCTTCTATAGAGATCAAAATATTATTTCTTTTCGTTTTTATGCAGTCAATGCAATTTTAAATTATATGGTTATATCTTCTTTTTAGATAGTAAATTAAAGATGAAATTATTGGTTTTTTTTAACATCAAAGTAACAAAAACTTAGGTTTATCCATTTTTTAACTAATAATTAAGTTTATCACTCTAGTATTTCTTTTAGTCAATGTAACATGAAATTTTGTGTACCTTTTTTACAGGTAGTAGAGTCATCATAAGATCATATTTTTTCCTTTTTAGGAAGTCGAAGCAACTTAAAATTGTGTTTATCCACTTTTTTAACTTAAAACTATGTGCGATTATCCTTTTCTTTTAGTCAGTTAGAGCAGCTTTCACTCTCTGTTGGTGTAGTTTAGATTTTTTGTGCAAAGTTAAGTGCTCAGGACGGTAGAACCCACAGTTACAGGTCTCGCAGCTGGAAAATAAAATAATAAAAATAAATATTAATCAAAGGTAAGAAAGTATATTGTGCTATGCTAAGTATAAATATTGATTTTGATTTCTTTTATAAAATTAATATATAGTTATTGTGGTCCCTAAAGCACCTTATTTTATTTCTTCTGACTGACTGAACCTTTAGATCTATTATAGGTAACCGAAATTCGGCCAATCGAACCATCTTAAAGTATGTTTTAGAAGTATTTTTCCTCGAGGTTAGTTCCATTTTTCGTAGTAGTACTCCAACTTACTGGTACTTTCGCTCGCCGGTGTGCAGCATTTCATGCCTTTGGCGCGTCGAACTGGAGGTGAATGTTTTGTCGCAGTGCTGACAGTGGAAGGGTCGCTCGTTTGTGTGGCTCCGTTCGTGGATCGCCCTGCTGCTGCATGAGCGAAAGGTCTTGCTGCAGATGCGGCAGGCGTAGGGCCTGGCATCCGAGTGCAGGATCCTGTGGCGGTGCATCTCGTTCTTCGTGTAGAACTTGGCCTGGCAGATGTCGCAGCCAAAGGGCTTGTGACCCGTGTGGCGCTGCAGGTGCAGCTTGATATCGAGGACTGACTTGGCCTTAAAGACTCCGCCGCACTGGTCACAGACCCAGGGCTTGGAGCGTGGCGTCGACCGCTTAGCCACCGCTGTCCTGGGAGACAACTGGAGTTCCTCCTGGTCCTCCTCCTCTTGGTAAGACTCCTCTTCCTGCTCATCAGGTTCCTCGTTTATTACTCCGATTCCTTGCAAACGATTCCTATTGGAGGCCAGAAAGGACTGATGGACAATCAAGCAACTGTTTCGAAACTCCGTAATCCTTTCCAGCTGCTGTTTGCACCAGTGGCAAATGAGATCTGGCATAGAAGTATCAAACTCCAGCTAAGCAATATAATTAAACCAATTGATTAAACAAAAGACTTCAATGTTTAGATGCTCACATACTTACATACATATCGGTGATGTTTTCTATTAAACTAATTAAGTTATAATTGTCTTTTTCGAAGAGCTTGGTGGCCCCCGAATGTTCCACATTCTTGCCACAAGTTCGGCAAACTGAGCGCAGCTCAGACATTTTGAACATAAATTATAAACACATAACAATTAACATCGAAATGTTTTTTAAAGTTGTACATTATTGTATTGCATTTTCAAGTGAATGGCAGTAGAATAGAGAAGAAGAAGAAGAATCAAATCAGCTGATGTTTGTTGATAATATCTATTTCTTGGTGTACACACTGCCTATTTCGCATCAAAATAAAGGAAATATGTATGTGCATGGTCTATAAAGTAAAAAACCATATATATATTAATTACCAAAACAATTTGATTAATTTATAAATCCAAACTGCATCCCAATATTATGATAGATCAAAACTTGTGCTAGGCGAGCGAGGTCTTGTTTACATTATATGGGCACTTCCAAAAAAAAGTCCACCAAGCCAAAAACCTTGAAACTTGAATAAAACATATTTCCACATGATTTTGCCCCGATATTAGTTTCTAATTAGTTGGATACTGAGCTTAACTACAAATTTGGAGTATAGTTTGATTATTTTTATGACAAACCCCACCAATATACGCAAAAATCAGTTTTTGGCTATTTTTTTGTTATTTTTTGGACCTGTCTTCTGTTGTTAATTTATCCTATAGGAATGCTAATATGTGACATTTTTCTGTGCTGAATGCTTCATTCACATGCTAAACTATAAAGTTAAAAGCAAAACATCCAGCAATTGAGAGATAGAGGTAAAGAAATCCGCTTTACAAAACAATCGGAAAAAATGTCCCGAGCGACATGTCCCGAGCGAATGTGGTTGAAACTGCATAAAAAAAAACGGCAAAGAATTTTTGAGTGAAACCAAAAGCATTTCACAGCGACATGTTTGAACAACATTCTAAAAAAAATCGCATTCAAATATTCCATCAGAATTTGCTAATTTCTGGTGTTGTATGAACTTCCCCGAAATCCACTTCTATTTTTGTCCCGAGCGAATACGGCAGTTTTTTACCGATATCTTAAAAACTAAAAGTGGTACAAAATTAAGATTTTTACCAAAAATAGAGCTTGGAAAGAGTGAAAAGAAAAGCCCATAATTAAAATTAAAATCCATTGTTTTACAACTTTTTTTCAACTTTAAAGGTGTGCAAATGTCCCGAGCGACATTTTGGAAGTGCCCATATATCTATAAAACCTTATCAGCAGACTAGAGATAACTCTATTTAGCGCAACGCGCGTTAAATTTACAAAGTAAAATCGGGTCATTTCTATAAGGCATTTTAAGATGTTTATTTAACAAAAAAACTCTCGAGAATTAGACGCTATAACAGACTTGCTTCGATTGCTTATCGCTTTCCTAATGTTAATTAGTACAAATTCTTTGTGCACCAAGGGTGTAGCACTCGCTTATTATTATAACATTTGTGCTTTCCTTAATATCCTCCTGCGGAGCAGACTTGGGTGATATGTGGGACTCCTACAGTTGCTCCCGGCACAGTGGGCAGCACTTGGCTCCGCTAGCAATAAACTGCTGATGGCACTCGAAGTGCAAAGCATGCTGGCAGCGCAGGTGCACCATGTTGGTCCTCTCCAGGGAGTCCAGGCAGATCGCGCAGCTGTCGCCGGGAAGACTGAGATTGACGGTCCTGTAGCACAGTGGGCAGTTCCGGCGGACATAGCGATATTCCTCGAAACAGCCGCCGTCCAGGGCATGTCCGCACTTCATGAAGCGCATTTCGCCATGTCGCATTTCACTTAAGCAGATGGCGCACTTGTCACCAGGCAGGCTGAAATAAAACAAGGGGTTTTAGGAACCACAATCAAGATCTTCACTCCTTGGCATCGCCAACCTGCGCCGCGTTCGCTGATCCCTGAACTGCCGGTGCAGACTGGCTCCATTGTCGAACTCCTCCTCGTCCTCATCCCTGCGATTGCGACTCCTCGGTTGGCGATGAGGCGTCTGGTAAGTCGGCTGGCTGAAGTAGATGGCCGTGGCAGCTGCCACCAAAACCACGCCAAGGCCAACCAGTAAATTCAGGTAAACCATTTTCCACCGACTTGTGCTCTTAAAACAACGCAATTCAAAGGATTAAATAACCAACTGATAAGGAACGCCGCTGGGTTTTTTGTGAAATCCCCCAAAAATAAAAATAGTGTCCACTTTGGTGTGACCGCAGAGGGTTCTTTTAAAAAAAACCATGCAAATGTCTGGTATTAAATATTTTTATTGTACTATTAAATACTAAAAAGAATAGCCGGTAGCTAGAACTCGTTGCAAGTGCGGTATCGAACAGACAACGCTGCAGGGTCACACAGATTTTCAGTTAAAAAGTTTGATGAACTTTATTTTACCCAGATCAATTGCGAGACTACAGAGAGTTCGGGCATAGGTTGCTTAAGTCCAGCTGCGGCCAGCGTGCAATATTGATTCCGGCGTGGAAATCGCAGTAGAACCGCCTTCTCCGCCGCCCCGCACACCTACACAGGCGCACCCCCACACGCACGGGCAGACAGGAAAAGCCATTTTCCGCAGGCAATTAGAGGGTTTTCGGGGGCCGAAAGAAAAACAATCGCCATGGCGGACCGCGAGCGCAGCATTCACGAGATGCTGAAGGACGCGCCCTCGCTGAACGACAGCTGCGGAGCGGTACACACGGGCACCGAGGGCGGCAGCCTGGTCCTCGGGAGCGCCAGCAGCCACAGCATCGCCGGCGGGGGCGGAGGTGGAGGTGGCCATGGGGCCGCGGGCGGTCCCTTCGGCGCCCCCAACAGTCTGCCGCTGCGCAACCACTCAGGTGAGTTGTTATCTCATCGTTTTCGGCCCACCTGCCAGCCTGACTCATCGGTATCCATCGATATTTCCCTTCAGCACCCACCACACCCATGTCGCCCAGTAGTCCACCATCCGGAAACGGCACCCTGAGCCCCACGGACAGCGGGAGCGGCAGCCTCATACGCACTAGCGCCTCCAAGATCGACAGCCTCAAGAACTGGAGCATATCCACGTACAAGTGCACGCGGCAGATAATGCTGGAGAAGCTGGGCAAGTCGCAGCGCACCGTCGACTCGGAGCTGGAGGCCCAGATCGAGCAGCTGCGCGAGACGCAGCGCAAGTATCTGTCGATTTTAAGGCTGACGCGGGCGTTCAGCTCGCACTTCCAGCACGTCATTGTCACCCAGCACGCCCTGGCCGACTCGTTCGCCGATCTCGCCCAGAAGAACCCCGAGCTGCAGAAGGAGTTCACCTGCAACTCGGAGACGCAGCGCAACCTCACCAAGAACGGCGAGCTGCTGCTCAACGCGCTCAACTTCTTCATTTCGTCGGTGAACACGCTGTGCAACAAGACGATCGACGACACGCTGCTGACGATACGACACTACGAAACAGCCAGGTAATAAAGCTCTTTAAGTATGATGCAATTGTCCTATGCTCTTGAGACATGTTCAATATGGTGTTCAAGACATGCATGCTATTATAGATGTTGCCATTCGTTAAAAGGTTTTCTTTACACTTTGGAATTAAATATTTTGGGTGGGTTTAAGTATTCTTTTTATTAAGAGCTATTGAAAGCGTTATTTTCTATATAAACACACAAGCTCGCTTATCTAATTTTCATTGCTTGAAAAATGTGGATTTTAAGTCCTGCATGCTATGATTGAATACTACATTTGTGAAAACGTTTTTTTAACAATTTAGAATTAAATACTTTTGGTGATTTTAAGTATTATAAACTAGTTAGCTATTCATCTCTTTATTAAGAGATATTTAAAGCACACAAGCTTGCTTATCAAATTTTCATTCCTTCAATAATAATAATTATGTATACTTATTTCTTATCTAGCATAAGAAAAAAAATATAAAAACAACGTCATGATAAATCTCGTTTCGCCCCTTAGAATCGAATTTGATGCTTATCGCATGGACTTGGAGAACACCAAGCCGGAGCTGACGCCCTCGGCTGCCGCTTTGGAGGAGACCCAGCGCAGCTATGCGCAGCACAAGGAGCAATACGAGAAGCTGCGCTCTGACGTGGCCATTAAAATGCAATTCCTCGACGAGAATCGCGTAAGTTAAAGCTTAATAAAACAATAAATAAATCCGTAGTAACATATATTCCCCCGACAGATAAAAGTGATGCACAAGCAACTGATTCTGCTGCACAATGCCATCGCAGCTTACTTTTCGGGCAACGCCATGGCACTGGAAAGCACTCTGAAGCAGTTCAACATAAAGGTGAGAGTTTGGCGTTAGATCGAAGAGGGATCCAAAGATTAAACTTTGTATCTTACAGCTTAAGTCACCCAATGCCGTCACAGGATCTTGGTTGGAACAGTAGAATCAGTACATTCCGCCCACTCTCGAAATATATTGCAGACGGCAGTTAAGCGCATATATTGGGGGAAACTTTCCTCCACTCACTTGCTGAACGAGCACGCTCTCTAAAAAGAAAATCAGGAGCAGAGTAAATCCAATATCCAATCCACTGGATGCTGCATGACGAACCGTAACAATATGTACGTGCTAAGTTTAAGTCGAATTCCTAAGCCGTAAGCAGAAAGTGGTAACTGTATGTTATATATATATATATTTTTCCAACCGCTTTCCTCTGTATGTAACTCTCTCTGTACTACACACATTTCCACACTTGGTGCGCCCACAGTTCCTTTGATTTGTGTTTCCAAATTGTCACTTTCCGTTTGGGTATCATATTGCGCTCTGCTTGTGAAACTTACTTAGACCAAAAAGTGCTCAGTGCAATATATGTATGTTTGTAATGACCCCATGTTTTAGTTCTAGATATTGTACAATGCGTGTATAAATCATTTGTAACTCACCAAAACGAATAATCCATAACAAATCGAAATGTTTCCGCGAGCTTGAATAATTTGAATTCATTGTTTTACTAGTCAACGTATTATTTACACTAAAACGAAGTCTATATATAAAAGTATATAAATAAAAACTATTTAATTACACCCAATTTGTTTGTGTTAGTTCTTCTCCAGCTTCAAGTCGCTGAGTTTTTCGTTCAGAGCGGATTCCTCATCTTCCTCCGCCTTGAACATGTCCTGAAATTCGGGATATTACTGGTTTTCTAGATTAATCCGGGTGAGTCACTTACCGGATCGTATATGACCTTGATGACTAGCGAGCAGCTGGGACAGGTGGCCACTTCCTCGCCCTCGATCAGCTCCTCCTAAAATGGAAAATTACCCAAATTATTTAAGGTCTGATAGGGTTGCGTATACCCCTCGTTACCTTGGAGATCTGAAATCGATCGCCGCAGGGACAGGGATAGTAGTACATCTCCTCCTCCTCGTCGTACTCAAAGTCCTCGATTTCCACCTCGTCGTGATAGATGCTCATGACGTACTTTCTTCTTATTCTAGGGGTTTATAAACATTATATATAGGCTGTACAGCGATTGTGATAAATCCACGCCAAACAAATGGGCACGTTGTGTGGCGGTGCTGCCAACTCGGTGCACAGATCAGCTGATTCGGTAAACAAAATGCCCAGCAAATGCTTTATTTTCATTTCAAGGGAAGCCGGCTACGGATTTAATATATATTATTTGCTATAAAATATTAAAAACAACGTATATTTTTTATTAAATTCAGTAAATAAAGCTAGGACAAGCAATATCCACCACTAGCCACTTAAAACAGCTGATTCAGTCTTGTTTGGTAAACAATTACCCAAGCAAATGTTTTGTTTGTGATTTTTTCCAGTTGTGAAATTAGATAAATCGAAATGGCGAACAAAAAGTTCAGTGACATCAATCTGTACGACCTTTTGGGCATTTCCCTGGAGGCCGATCAAAATGAGATTCGCAAGGCGTACCGCAAAAGAGCCCTCGACTGCCATCCGGACAAGAATCCGGATAATCCCAAGGCCGTCGAGCGATTCCACGAGCTGTCCAAGGCCCTGGAGATCCTCACCGATGAATCCGCCCGCGCAGCCTACGACAAGGTGCTGAAGGCCAAGAAGGCGGCGGAGCTGAGGAGTCGCCAGCTGGACGGGAAGCGGCAGAAACTCAAGCAGGAGCTGGAGGAACGGGAACGGGCGGCCCTGCACAAACTGGCCAAAGCCCAGCCCTACAGCACGGTGGCCAAGAGCGACGAGGAGCTGCTGCAGGAGCAGATCGAGCGCCTGAGACGGGAGGGATCCCGACTGCTGGAGGAGGAGCAGCGGGCCATGCAGGAGCAGTTCCGGCGCAGTCATGCCGAGAAACAGAAGCTTCTGCAACAGCCGACCCCGTTCGATTCGGCCCAGCATCGCATCAAGATGAAGTGGAAGGCCGATCCCGGCCAGGATTACACGCAGGAGCAGCTGCTCAAGTACCTCAAGAAGTACGGCGACGTGGTGGCCCTGGTGGTCAACAGCAAGCGACGCGGACGCGCCATGGTGGAGCTGGCCACGCGCGAAGCCTGCGACATGGTGTTGGCCTACGAAAAGGGCGATCCCGCCAAGCCACTGCACTTCGAGTGGGTGACGCCGCCCGCGGAGGAGAAGCAGCCATCGAAATCATCCGCAACTGGAAACTCCAGCTCAGCCACGGACTACGAGGACCTGGTCATGCGGAAGATGCGACAGGCTGAGGAGAGGAAGCGGTTAATTGAGCAGATGATGAAGGAGGAGGACAACGAATAAACTCAAATTAATTAAGGCAATCTTATTTGAATAGTTACAATTAGGTCACACAAAATACACAGAGCCAGGTTTTAGATGATAATTGTGTACGATAATAGAATTTTAAAAAAATTATTAAAAGAATTGAAATCGATGTAGTTTTATAATTTACAAATTTGTGTATTACCAATCACTTATCATACCTGGAAACTTATGTAGAAATGGAGAAAACGATAATACCATGTTACAAAATTATTGTTTTTTAAATTTACCCCTCCGGATGCGGTAATTTTGAATTCGTTATAAATTCCCAAATTAAACTGCGTTTTTAAAAAAAGGACCCGACGCAAAGATTCAGGGAAACAGGACCTCAAAGTTTGAGAAATGACAGAAATGGCGAATTTTCCGGGGGTATTACAGGAAAACGGTATCTTAGTTTATGGTAATGTCTAAGGATTTAAAAAGTACAACTCTTTATCTTTTAAACCCCATATTTAAAATATTTTAAAATTTTTTTAAGAGGAAAAAAATAAAAGAAAACAGCCATAAAACGTAAAAACATACAGCTGCGGTCAAAATAGTGATTCCGCCCTTAGTTTATAAAAATTGGTTGTTGTAATGTTGATAATTAATAATTAAATGTTTAAAAATTATTTGAACCAAGTTAAAAACAACAAGAGAGAACGCTATAGTCGGATTGTTGTCCCGACTATCTAATACCCGTCACTCAGCTAAAGGGAGTGCGAACGCTGTGTCGGGTTGGTGTCCCGACTAATAATCGTAACTCAGCTAAATAATTAATCAATAATTTTTGATTGCGTATAACTTTTTAATGAATGGTCCGATTTGAAAAATGTCTTCTACATTTCGATAGGTATAAATATAAACCACAAAATTGCATTTATACTTCTCGGAAATCTTTAAAGATGTGGGCGCAGGACCCATTTTAAAATCATTAGTGGGCGATTGTGGGCGTTAGAGGGGGCGTGGCGCTCGGCTAAAATAAACTTGCGCTGCGTAGGAAGCCAAAGAATATGTGTGGGAAATCTCAACCTTCTAGCTTTTGTAGTTTCTGAGATCTCAGCGTTCATACAGACGGACAGACGGACAGACAGACAGACAGACAGACAGACAGACAGACAGACGGACAGACGGACATGGCTAGATCGACTCGGCTAGTGACCCTGATCAAGAATATATATACTTTATGGGGTCGGAAACGCTTCCTTCTAGCTGTTACATACTTTTGCACGAATCTAACATACCCTTTTACTCTACGAGTAACGGGTATAATTACTTAAATCACGGTACCGACCATTTTTAGGCGCTTGCATTGGCGACAAGTTGGCAGCCCCGCCTGGCAGCTGCTAAAATTTGTTAATTGAGGGGAATGCAAAAATGCCACGGGAGAGAAATAAATAGAGCAGCCAAGTCAACTGAAAGTTTCGCGACTAATTCCCATTCGCGGCGAGATGGAGAAGCGGCAAAGGGAGCTGGAGGCGCTGGTCTCCACGCAGAAGGAGCAGCTTGGGCGCTACGAGAAGCGGCTGAAGGGTGAGCACTTTCCCAATTTCCCAGTGCATCCAGAGTGATTAATCCGATTTGCAGACGTGGTCACCGCCTACAAGGGACTGCTGAAGGAGAAGGAGGCGCTGGAGACGAGTCTGGCGGCGCATGCGGAGGCCACGGCGGTGGGTGATGCGGGATCGCCGGCCAGGGAGGTGGAGTCCCAGAACACCAGCACAGATTCCGCGGACGGAGCGGCAGAGGGAGGTGCTGCTCCTCCTCCTCCTCCCGCCGATGGACAACTGCAGACCCAGATTATCACCCTGATGAACTCGCTGGCCACTCTGTCGGCCGAGAAATCCCGCATGGAGGCCTCCTTCCAGGCGGACAAGAAGCAACTGCGCAGCCAAATCGCCCAGAAGGAGCAGTCCATCCAGGAGCTGCACCTGCGGGCCAAGGAGCAGACTGTGCGGGCCAAAAGCGACGTGGACGAAGTCAAGGCCAAGTGGATTGTGGAGCGGCAGGAGCGTGAGAAGGAGACCAACAACCAGATGCTCATGATCCGCGAGCTGCAGAAGCTCTATGCCGACGAACGCCATCTGAAGGACAACATCGAGATGCAGCTGAACAATTTCAAGACTCAGTTCGCCAGCAACGAAGCGGAGAACAGCCGACTGCGCGAACTGCAGTCGCAACTGAAGGAGGCGCGCTCCCAGCTGAAGCAATTCCAGACCAAGGCGGAGCAGTCGGCGGCCGCAGCCGCCAGTGCGGATAGTGCGGCTCTGCTGCAGCAGGTGCGCCTGGAAATGCAGCAGCTGAAGGAGCAGCATGCGGTGGCCATTCGGCAGGAACAAAGACGCGTGCTGCGGGCCGAGGAGCAGAGTCGCAGGCAGGCGGCTCTCCACGAGGATCGCGTGGCCAGCCTGGAGGCCCGACTGGCGGAGCTCAGCACCACAGTGGGCAGATACGATCGCCTGCGTCAGCAGGATCAGGAGAGCATCCACGACCTCAAGCAGCAGTTGCAGGTCCACGTCCGTCCCACAGCCAATTCAACGGCTCTTGGTGAAGATGTGGACGTGGCCACGCTGGTGGACGAGATGGTGCGCCTCAAGAAGCTGCTTACCACTGCCAATGCCCGATCCGCCAATCCCATGGACCTCGCCGAGATCCTTTCTCTGAGCGGCCAAACGACAACGCGGGCCGAAAGTCACGCCCATTGCGAGCAACAGCTGCAGGGAGTTCAGCAAATGCTAGAGGCGGCCAAACAGCAGCGACAACTGCTCGAACAGAAGGTGCAGCTGCAGCACTCGCACATCCAGACGCTGCAGGAGAAGGTGCAGGTGCTGAATCGCAACATCGACGAGGCAGAAATCGATCTGAAGCAGCAGGGCGAGAAGCTGCGCTTGGCCCTGAAGAGCGAGCGCAGCAAGTGGCAGGAGGCCAAGGCGGAGCTGGAGAACGAGACGCGCTGCAAGCTCAACGAACTGGAGCAGCTGCTGCAGAAGCAGCGCCAGAGATCCCTGCAGCTGCTCGACGAGAAGGAGCAGGAGATCAAGACGCTGCAGACCTCCTTCGAGGTCTTTCACTCGGCCAGCGGTGTGGGCCACAGCACACTGGCCACGCCCACGCTGGAAGCCGCCGCGGAATCCTTTAACTATTCCTCCGACGCCGACAGCGTGGCCGAGGCCGAGGGCAGCGAGCGGCGGGAACGCAAGCTTAAGGTGCGCTCCAAGAAGATGTCGCTGGGGGAAAACTGCCACATGCTGCACTACGCCAATGAGTTGGCGCGCAAGGACATCGAGATCACCAATCTGCGCAAGGCCAAGTACGCCGCCGAGTCGACGCTTAGAAAAGCTATCCAAGATAAGGTTACATCGCAGCAGGAAATGCACGAGAAGATCGAGTGCCTGGAAGAGCAGGTGGACAGGTGGGTTCTTATTATAGTCAATCGAAAATAGTGTTGGGTTGCTCATGAGTGAGTGAACAAAAAAGAGTTGCTCACTAAAATGAGTGAGTGAACAATGTTCACTGAACATGTTCCTCTGAACTTGTTCTTTATTGTTCACTTGTTCATTTTTGCTCACATGCTCCTTTTTGTTCTCTTGCTCATTTTTGTTCTTTTATTTGATCTTTTTAATTCACTTGCTCAGTTGCTTTCTTGCTGTTTTTGGCTCAAAAAGTATTTTTTTTTTACTTTTTGGATGCATTTTGCATAAAATTTTACAGTCAATCATCTGTTTTCTCAGATGTGTGAGCAAGTGAACAAGTGAGTAAGTGAACAAGTGAGCAAACTGAGTGAGTTGACTCATTGGGAAAAAAAACAAGTGAACACGTTCTCCCAAATGAACAGTTTTTACCCAACACTAAATCCAAAATGGATATTACAATCTCTCTTTTTTCAGACTCGAACGCTGCAAGACGCGCGAGGGCGCCAATCTGGAGTACCTGAAGAACGTGATCATCAGCTACATTGTTACCCGGGACGCGGACGGCAAGCGTCACATGCTGAACGCCATCTCGGCGGTGCTCCAGTTCACCGCCGCCGAGATGCAGGCGATCAATGCCTCATTCCAGAAGAAATAACATTCGTATTTTGTTTATAACAATCATGTGCAACATATTTAAGTCCTTAAATTGGTCACTAACTAAATCCAACAACGGGATATTTTTCTAGGTGGGAGGCAAGGACGCCAGGGAACATGGCCAGGAACTTGAAGCGACTGCCCATTTGCTTGGGATCCGTCAGCATCTCGTAGCCGGAGCGAATGATCTGCTGGTTTTCGGGCAATGCGTGGGCAACCAGCTGCTCCAGACGAGCCTCGCCCTGCATGCGCTGCAGGAAGAGTCCCTGCTCCACGGGTCCGCAGCAGTGGACATTGCCGCGCTGCTCGGCGGTGTGCCGCACCAGCTTGAAGTCCACGTCGGCCGTGAGATCGGCGCTACCGGGTTCCAGCAGGGGATCATGCAGCTGGTGCTGCTTGAAGGCACGGAAAGTGTCGGTTTTCTCGCCAAAGTGTCCGTAGTCCATGATCAGAGCGATGCCGCCGTCCCGTTCAATGCGCTCCGCCAGGAGTCCCACCTGCCGCTCCGTCTCCAGGGAGTACTCCAGGCAGGAGCGCGTCTCGCCGGGCAGGGATTGGAAAACGCTTGAAACGGGCGTTTGACTGCGCGAGAGGACGTACCGGAAGTCACCACCATTGGAGGCCACATCGATGAGCACCTCCTGCCACTTGCCATCCACCAGTTGCATTTTGTGCACGGGCAGGGCGTCGAAGAACTCGTGGGCCAGCACCAGGGAAAATCCCTGGGGAACATCCTCCAGCCGGCGGTGCCAGAAGGCTTTGGTCCCGCTGGCCGTGGTTCCCACTTGGTAATGGGGCAGCTGTGCGTCCTCCGGCAGGGTGTCGTGGTTGTAGCAGAAGCGCTGGGCCTGCGCCTTGCTCAAAAACGGACTAACCTCCACCATGTGCATAGAGAACTCGGCGTCCTGTTTGAATTTGGTGATCACCTTGAGCACATCCCTGGCTAAAGTGCCGCGACCAGGACCCAGTTCCACTAGTTGGAAGGGCGAGGGACTGCCCATCTTGCGCCACTCGCTCACCAGCCAAATCCCCACGAGCTGTGGTGAAAAGGAGAGAATCAGCAGGAGTACTTCTATTAGCAATTGATTACCTCTCCGAAGATCTGTGATATTTCCGGCGAGGTTATAAAGTCGCCCTCGCGGCCGAAGACATCCCGGTTCATGTAGTAGCCAGCTTGCGGATGGGTCAGCACCTCGCGCATGTACTCCGCCACGGGAATGGGTCCAGTGGCCAGAATCCTGGCGCGCAGCTGGTTGGCCAGGCTGCCCTGTCCGTTTTCCGATGTGGAGGATGTCCCTGGTTGCTCCTTCACCGGCTCCACCTTGGGAGCACCTGTGGCACCCAGATTCGGACGACGCACGGACTTGTAGCTGTACCAGCGCCGGCTGCCGATCCTTAGAGCTTCGCGTAACATCTCGAGCCGGCTAACAAATTGCTACGGAAAATATGTGAAACTCGTTTAGGCAAGATGGTCGACAGCGGGATACCCTGTATTTCATTTTTATTGGTTGCATACTGAATCTAAGATTTTTTAAAATGAAATAGACTAAGTGCGTCGATTATATAGTTGAAATATTTTGTATAGACTAAAACCCGTGTTTTTTCTTATGTTAATTATTTTATTATGAAAGGTTTACAAAAATAAGTATGAGTATAGAACTGAGTATACCCCATCCCACAATTACGGGGTATACAAATATTTCAAAAGGGGACTGCCCACCTGCTGACGAAACAGCTGTTTGGATAGTACAAAGCCGTTACTTTCATATTTTAAAATTTTAATTTATTCTTTTAAGCACACTAAAAATAAAAGGTTTCAGACCATTCCAATCTCGTCATCCTATAAATCCATATCCAGTTCTTGCCTAGAAAACCTTGGCGTTTTCGATGACCTTCTCGTTGTCGTAGATCTCCTTGGCGTAGCACAGGTTGGGATAGTCGAAGGCGGCTCCGTAGCGGTTCTTGCATCCCGTGGTGGCCTTCTCTCCCGGAGTGTAGACGGGCTGACCCACAATGTTGGAGGTGGCGAAGTTGCAGGTCAGCACGAAGTGGTTGTAGAAGTCGCGGGAGAAGCGCACGGCGGCACATCCCACATGGGTGTTCTTCTCGGCCACGGCGACGGTGAACTTGGCCACATCCTTGCTGGGCAGCTCCTCCGGGAAGTTGGCGAGGATCTCGGGAGAGGCATTCGAACGCTGGGCGAACCAGTTCTCGATCTGCTCCTTCACAATCTCTGCATCGGTGTATTCTGACTCCGATCCACTGTAGCTGAAGATGGCGTTGTTCTGGCCAGCGTATGCAAATCTCTCCGTGCTGCGACATTTGTCTGGCAGGGATTCACAGGTCTGCACGTTGAGGAGGGCCAGGTGGGAGAGCTCCTCGCACCAGGACATCTTGGCCATGCGAATCGCCTTGGGTAAGCCTTCTACTTTGCCTCCAGCCACATTGTTACGGAGTTCGTTGAAGAGGGTCAGGATCAGTTTGTGATGGGGCTCGATCTTCACTTCACGCACATCCTTGGGACAGTTCTCACTGAAGTTCTGAAAAAGAGGGATGAGAAACAGAAATAGATTAGTACCATTACTTACTCCCTTGTTATTGCAGGCTATGTGTTTATCCAGACACGTGGGTAGGGCACAATAGTCCACAGCTATGGTGGCTCCGATCAGGAAGGCTAATACAATAATTGACTTCATGGTGATCTCCGCTGTTGGCTCCTCACTGAATGGCCAATGGTACAGCGGGTTCTTTTTATAGGAAGTTTGCAGCCGTATTCCTCGAATTTCAGTAATCACCTGCAAAATAGGCAGCTGTTCTCGGAGGAATATCAGTTTCCAGTTCAAAATTCCTAATAATCATGGTGGTAACTTAACCAGGCAGTGCTCCAATCTTCTATAAAAGCTGCATATTTGAGCAAGTTAAGTCAGTCGCAATTCAGGAGCAATCCAAGCAATGGCTTCTATCAAAATATCTGGTTTCCTTCTCCTGGCAGTTGTTCTTTTTGGTTCAACTTTAGCCGTGGACTACTGTGCCCTACCCACGTGTCTGGATAAACACATAGCCTGCAATAACAAGGGAGTAAGTAATGGTAATAAACTATTCCTGGTTCTCATCCTTCTTCCTCAGAATTTCAGCGAAAACTGTCCCAAGGATGTGCGGGAGGTGAAGATCGAGCCCCATCACAAACTGATCCTGACCCTATTCAACGAACTCCGTAACAATGTGGCTGGTGGCAAAGTAGAAGGCTTACCCAAGGCAATCCGCATGGCCAAGATGTCCTGGTGCGAGGAGCTCTCCCACCTGGCCCTTCTCAACGTGCAGACCTGTGAATCCCTGCCAGACAAATGCCGCAGCACGGAGAGATTCGCCTACGCTGGCCAGAACAACGCCATCTTCAGCTACAGTGGAGCAGTGACCGAGTATTCCGATGCAGAGATTGTCAAGGAGCAGATCGAGAACTGGTTCGCCCAGCGCTCAAACGCCTCTCCCGAGATCCTCGCCAGCTTCCCGGAGGAACTGCCCAGCAAGGATGTGGCCAAGTTCACCGTCGCCGTGGCCGAGAAGAACACCCATGTGGGATGTGCCGCCGTGCGCTTCTCCCGCGACTTCTACAACCACTTCGTGCTGACCTGCAACTTCGCCACCTCCAACATTGTGGGTCAGCCCGTCTACACTCCGGGAGAGAAGGCCACCACGGGATGCAAGAACCGCTACGGAGCCGCCTTCGACTATCCCAACCTGTGCTACGCCAAGGAGATCTACGACAACGAGAAGGTCATTGAAAACGCCAAGGTGTTCTAGGAACTGAAATGGACTTGGAAATTGTTGACGACCAGGGTTTTTAAACTTTTCTTGTTATACAAAGCTATTGTATAATTGTTAATGTATTGGAATTAAATAGAGGGAGTTTTATATATTTTCGTTGTTTTTATTGGTTAACTAATTATAATTTATATTTAGCTTATAGCATTAAGACAACAAATCTTAACTTGCATTGGGGCCGTGCATTGAAGATTATTTCCAAATCCATTTCAAGATCGGTAAAATAGTATATTCATAGGTAAGAGTTACCAATTTAAAATCCGTAGTCAAATTATCAGTCTTTCCCCAGTAGTTTTAATTCAAAACATTTATCAAATTAGCTTAGTCAAAATCTTTTTATTGATCGCCGCCCTACCGCAGCAGAGGGCGGTAGAAGCAAGCAGACAATTAAACACGACATTTCGCTTAAGCGGTGGTGGGGGCGGCGGCGGCAGCAGCGCTGGTGGTGGCGGCGGCGGCCTCCTCCTTGAGACGATCCTTCTTGAGCGGACCCATGAAGGCCAGCTTGTCGGCGGGCGTCTGGAAGCGACCGTGACCCATCTTGGACGAGGTGTCGATGAACTTGAGCTTGATCTGCTCCAGGGCAGAGCGCTTGGTGTGCTTCAGCAGGGACTTGCGCAGGGTGATGATGCGCTTCTTGGAGCCGATGCAGCAGCCCTTGATCATGACGAAGTCGTTGTTGACCTCACCGTAGTGGGGGAAGCCACCCATGGGGGTGATGCTCTTGTCGGTCAGATCGTACTCAGTGGAGGCGTTGTTCTTGATGACCTGCAAGAGATATAGATTTCATCAGTTTATTGTATACTTTCAAAAATGAGAGTAATTCAATCGTATTTGGCTGAGATCTGTGATCAGTCCTATCATTATAAGAATCACGGTTCATCAAGCTTTTTTTGTTTTCGATGTCGTTGATTTTTTTGGTTTTTTATCATCAGTGCAACAGAATTCTCTACAGCCTTATGGGATTTCTCAAGTGAAAAACAAATGGAGCAGTAGCTTACCTTGCCGTCCTTGGTGTGGATGCCAGCACCGATGCGGTAGATCTTCTTGTTGATCTCGGTACGGTGGTGGTAACCCTTCTGACCGGCACGGGCCACCGTGGTGGACACACGCGACGGATGCCAGGCTCCAATACAAGCCACCTTGCGCAGACCCTTGTGCGTCTTGCGGGGCAGCTTCTTGGTGTGCCAACGCGAGGTGACACCCTTGAAACCCTTACCCTTGGTCACGCCGACGCAGTCGATCATCTCGTCCTGGCCGAAGACGTTGCTGACCTGGATGGGCTTCTCCAAGTGCTCGCGAGCCCACTTGACCTTGTCCTCAATGGAGCCGCCGTTCAGCTGGATCTCCATGACATGGGCCTTCTTTTGGCGCTGCTTGATCAAGCGGATCTATAAAAAAGATGTCTAAGTTAGTTTCATTCATATGATATTGAGATTTTAGGACTGTGCGTGATATGGTTTAACCGCGCTCTCATCGCCTGAACGGCTCCGCACCGTTACTGGAATATATCAAGCTCCGCCACCCGAGGGGCAGTTTGCTCTGCGACGTTGCATCCCTAAACTGTGCATTGAAGACCACAGCGCGAATGCTTTAGGCCAGGCGCACCAGAGGCACCGAGCCCGAGGACCCAGCACCAGTGGCGCAACAAGGCCAAGGACGTCGTGATTTTCTACTAGATTACAAATGATATTATTTACCTGCGAGTGGGCAATCACACGGATCACCTTGCAGTAACGCAGCATCTTGCGGAAGTCATTCTCGATGCTCTTCTTGCCGAGATCATCGGTCCACTTCTTGCTGGCCTTGGTGAAGGCCTTCTTCTTGCTCTTGTACCTGATGGACGATGGTCAAGTTGGAGTTGGTCAGAAACGAGCGACATGACGCAATCCATTGGGGTATTTGGTACTCCAACTTCTTAGCCGCGCTGCTGTTTAAGTTTATGGGGCGAGATAGAACAGGAAGTGCACCTCATCGCAAACAAGCGGCGAGCGGAGATGCAGTCTTCCATGTCGTGCTCACTCGTCAAGTAGCTTCAGTTAACCAGGGGCTAAGAGCCCTTAACCAAAAACCTGACAGCTCACACAACCGACAGCGATTTAAAAAGCTCTCTCAGCAAGCTGATCGAAGAACTTTATGATGGCATTTATACATTTAATAAAGGGGTCTTAAAGTTGTCAAGAGTTTATAAGAAAAGCGGGGTTTTTAACGCACAAAAACCTAGTGTTTTCTAGGATGCCGATCAGAAGGAAGGCAGCAGATGGTAGAAGGCTTCTCAACAATATTTTGCTCATTCAGATACCATCGTATCATCATTCAGGCTCTAGAAAACACGTGGTTTCTGTGTGTGTACCAAACAAAATGGCGTCGGAAGAAAAGAGGGAGAAGGGGTGGAAACCACGTGGTCCCCGGGATACATACCAGTTCTTGTAGAAGCGACGACGGCACTCCTCGGACAAATGCTGGGCCCAAACGTTGACCAAAGCACGCAGACCGAAGGGAGTCTCGATGTAGCCGACGGCACCGACCACAATCATGGGCGGGGTCTCCAGAACGGTGACGGCCTCGACCACCTCCTTCTTGTTGATCTCT